GCTGGTAAAAGAGAAAATCTGTTTTCCGATGATTGAAATGTAAAGATATGATATGTGTTATGTTATAAAGTGTATATGATTTTATGATATTATAATATTATTATTTTCATATGTTGTTTTCATGGATCTCACCGAGGTAAGTGGACAGTAAAGATTTTTATGTTAATAAACGAGTTCGTTATAAATTATGCTCCATTGGTCATTTTTTTTTTCTACCCACCTTTACTTCCGTGGCGGTGAGATAGTGTGATGTCTTTACTGGGCTGGTGTAGCTCATTCCTTATTTAACCATTTCAGATCAGGAAGACGTTGTTTCCGAGCCCGTTCCGCAGGAAGACGACGAATGGGACGCCTAAAGACTTCATAGTTATATTTATAGTTCTTATTTTGAGTATCTCTTTTAGTTAGTTTGTTCTTTCACGTTTTGAGTACGTTTTATTTATTGTGTAAGGGATGTTAATCAAATTTTTATTACGCTCCGCATTTGAGATTTTTAATACATACATTAAAAATCTCCCATACTCTTTGCAAATGATAATATTATCTTTGGAAGAGTAAAGTTTAGGAAAGTTAAAGCATTAAACAACATTTTAGGAAAAGTATACGAAGACAATTGGATAAACCATAAACTTGTCAACAGTCAAATGTTACTTTTTTCAAAGAAGTTAAAAGACAAAGGCAAATAGACCTAAAAACAATGTCAGTGGTGAACTTGTGGATGTTTATGTTAAATATATGCGTTACCTACCATGATTAGTAAGTTCTTGATAACTAATTTTAATATTTTAATAAAAAAATTTATAAAAAAGAGTGCAAATACAAATAAAACACGAAATATTCTAAAGCAGATGAAGAAGTGATGCTCAAAGCAATAAGTCAAGTGAATTTGATTTATCTTATGAATATTTTTTTTATTACCAAAAAATAGTTGTTCGCAATATATGAGGTCATATATAAATCTTAATAGAGTAAGAAAGATGTAGAAATGAGAACATATTGGATTACATGATCAATTTTAACTCCATTGTTTACAATTGAAAGTAAATTTTTATGTAAGCTTAATTTTATTATTTGAAAATTTTGTTGTCATATTCTAATTAAAAAATTTAAAATTTATCAAAAATAATTTAAATATGGTTAAATAGCATAACAAAGTTAGTTAGTTTAAATTTTAAATTTTAAGAAATTTGATTGAGAGATAATTAAATATAATTATTTATAAAATATAAATAAAATTAAAACTTAAATTAAACTAAAAATTCGTAGAAGTTATTTACAAGTTCATATTTATTTGATAAACTCTATATGAATTAAATATTTTGTGAACACAAGGTTTAAAAATTCTATTATTATTTAATTAAAACATAAATTTATAAATAAATTAGTCAAAATTTTGAATGAAGTAAAAATAAAAAACCTAAATAATAAAATATAAAAATTCAAATTATATTGATTCAAGTCTCAATGCCGCCCCCTCCGTCTCGACCTGCCCATCTGAATCTCATTGCCGCCGCTCGTCCTCTCCGCCGTCTCTTTCAACGCCGTCGGCGACTCTCAGCTCTCTCATCATCAGCTGCAAATACTTCAATTTACCATTTCCCCTCTCTAGTCTTCTTCCATTTTCGTCAGTCTCTTACACCAGCGCCCCTCTCCAGTCTCCGTCAGCTTCGTCAATCGGTCCAGCGGCCTGTGCTTTTGCAAATTCGAAGTTTGGTTACAAATTAAAGTATGATTTCTAGATGATGGCATTTGCTATGAGTAATTATTGATTGATTCAGCTCTGGGTTTTTTCCCCTGTATTTTGTTTTCAGTATTTCTTGCTTATTTGGTATGTTTTTCTTTTATTTTTATTGTGATTTTAATATTTTTATTTAAAGTTTTATTCTTTAACTTTATTATCTTCTCCGCTGGTTTCCCGTTTGCTCTTCTTCTCTGCTTCTCTCCGCCGCACGAACTCAACTGAGCTTACTACTTTCTAGATGCCGAAGGTTTCGCCGACTCCTCCTTCTAGTGTCATCCTGGCTCTGGCGTAGCTACTGACCTTCTCCCCACTGCTAGCTTCAGACTTCATTTGCTAACTTCTTGGCCCAATAAGCATTCACATTCTCTCTGCTTCCAAATCCCCCTTGATTTCACTAACAGCCCCAGTAGCCCTATTATCTCTTCTTTTGAACATTTAAACGATTCTGTAGGTAAATTCCGTTTTTTTTGCTTCGGGCCTGCTTATATTTGAGTCTCTTTCGCTCTGATTTTGCTTGTGGGACTTATTTCGTTTTGTTCTAGTTGCTTAACATTCTTTCATTTACGCAGTTCTATTTATGCTGGTGCCATTTTGTATTACCTCTTTGATCTCTTGTGGCGTTATCTTAGCTGGCTCTTAGTAAATGGTAGCTTTTTGCTGTTTGGGAAAAATATGCATATCAAGCTTGAACACTCTTTCATTCAGATTTTTGTATTTTTTTCACTAGAAAAGAAGATTTATTGAAAGGAGGAAAATACAAATGGGAGTATGAGTTATCCTCCTAAAAAAATTCTGAAAGAGAAGAAAGGGAGATTAGCTGCAAAACAATGAAGTAGCATCCCTATGTGGATGGACAAGGAGACTTGTAAAGCACCCGTGTTTCCTGGCTTACAAAGAAGCTAAAAACAGAGTTCTATTCCAAAGATATTGTGGGGACTAAACAGCTATCACAACATCAGCATGGCACGAAGAAGTTCTCCTTTCCATTAAACTGTATGCTTCCAGGCTCTGGATGAAAGGAAATAAAAGAATCTAAGGCAGCTGGATAAACTCATGGTTCCCCTAATTTATCATAGAGCCTGTCCAATATCCAATAACATTCTCTAAATCACAATGGAGAATCAACAAGTCTCTTACTCAAAGTTATGCAGCTCATCACACATTTTAGGAGATAAAACCGTATTTTTTTCTTCGGGCTTGTAACAGATTCTTTGTGTTAATCCAATTGGACATACAAATAAAGATATTGTTTATTGCATTGGATTAAACTTGTCTAAGATAGCAAAACTTCTGATTTTGGTCTTGTGATATCTTTGTCAATAATTTGGGTTTTGATGTTGGATAAATACTTTTTGGTTTTATAAGATTGTTTTTTTTTTTTTGAAAAATAAATGGTGCATGTCAATACGGTCCACCTGAATTTTATTATTTATAAATTGTAAAATATATGCCTTCTCTTCATAATGGATATTTGGTGAACCATATCTATCGGATTACTTGGTGACTGTTCTTCTTTTCCTTTTTCTTGTTCTTTTCTTTCTTCCTTGTTTAATAATTGTATATTCAAGCTCTAGGTCATAGTTTAGTTGGTATAATGTGAGTGGTTGTGTTGTTGCGTATTGTTTATTTCATTATTCAGTTTAGGACTTGCAGGCAGAGATTTTGGTTATACAACTGAACATATTTGGTTGCTTGGATTAGAAGCTAGTATGGGAAGTTGGTTAATAATAGTGTGGCCATGGTCTCACTCTTGGTGGGTTATTGCTCTTTTTCTTTTTAAATTTTAATTTAAAATTTTTTAAAAGGTTATTATAAACAAGACACCAGGGGAAGGTGAAGGTGAATGCTGTCACCGTACAAAAGAATTCACCCAACAATCTTTAGAAAGCTCAGAATTGAAGGACATAAAAAGCACAGATTTCTTAATTGGTTAAAGTACCCAGTCCTTACAACCACATCTCCCAGGGAACAATACAATCAACACCCAGCTCTGCTAATAAGTTAGCCATCTGATTTTTTTCTTGTTAGTATGAATTAGAAATACTCCTTTTTTAACTACTTCACACCATTTAAATCTCATTCTATAAGGTTCTCAAAATTCTAGCCACACATGTGAGAATGACCTTTAAGGGAAATACTTATGGTTTGGAGACTGAAACCAGTTTTTCTAATGCTAAAAAAAGAAGAGAGACTGTCCCGAAAGACACTGATGTTCCTTTCTTTCATATCACCTATATAGTAGCCAAAGAAATGATGGGGATGAGCTTCTTTCTTTTCTTACTAGTGTGAATACCTTTGTTACAATTTAGACATACTACTAATTTAGTCCCTAAACTATAGTAAAAAATTTTCACTGTTAACAATCTCATGAATAGAGGTAAACATACCTAACAGATGCTTTTTGTGTAATAGAGAATGTGAATCTCTGGGTCATTTACTCATCAGTGCAGTGAATCTATAGGACTCTTGGATGCTGTTCTCAGCTTGATAAACCTTTGTGGGGGGTATGTGGAAATGAGCTTTGGGCTTGGAGCGAGTGGCCTCTCTAAAAGAAATGCTGCTCTCATTCCTTTACTTACCTTTTCGGTCATTTGGAAAGGAAGAAATGAAAGAGTTTCTGGAAATTCTTTCGCCTCTGATGGGTATATCAAGGGTCATTGGCTTAGGACTCTTTGCTTTTTGTGTAAGGGTCATCCCATTTGGGATGAGGCTGGTTTTTCTTGATCGCATGATCTTTTGTCTCCTGGCCCCATGGTTACTCCTTGGTACTCTATATTGGGGGACTTTTTTTTTTTCTTTTTTTTTTCTTTCTGAAAAAGGAATACTGGCAATGCTTCTTTTCTTCTACTCATTTTTATTATTTCTCCAAGTAAGTAAAAAAATAATTTTTCCCTTTATTTTCCTTTTCTTTGTTCCTCAACCCAAGCATGTTATGAGTTGGCTAATTTGGTTATCTAATTTTAAGTAACCATGCTTGATGGAAATTTCAACTCTCCTACTACATGTATCCCTTGTTGTCTTTTATTTGAGATCACCCATATTCCTCCTTCATCGAACTTGGTCTTGTTACTTTTTTGTTAATAAATGCGATACTTGATATAACCTTATAGTTGCTATGTTGAATATTTCATTTATGACTTTTTATTGATTACTTGCACATGAATGAAAGCCTTGGTAGGAGTAGGAGCTTTCTTTATTTTAAGTTTTGCTACTTCTTTTCTCTTTTGGAATGTATTAAATTCCCCACCTGTTATAATTTTAATTTTAGTTTTCTGTCCTTTGTGCCTGTAGGTTGTGCTGTTAAGAGTTCAAGGTTCATACTGTCATAAATGCCACTCACATTTATTCACTTAACTAAGGCACGATTAATTTCTTGTAGGCTATAATTACTTGGCTTATACTGTAGGATGGGTGCTTAGTATCTTCTTGCTAAGTTTCCAAGTTTAGAGCCTTTTCTTTACACATATAACCAGTTTGATAATGGTGTCTAACACTTCCATGGTGATCCCTTTCTTGTAACTATTTTATTACTTGAGAATGATGAGTGGTTTGCAACAGGTAAGAGTCTAGAAGAGGAAATGGGGACATCAGTGCAGGTTACCCCATTATGTGGAGTATACAATGAGAACCCGTTGTCTTACTTGGTCTCTATTGATGGCTTCAATTTCTTGGTTGACTGTGGCTGGAATGATCAGTTCGATCCCTCATTCCTCCAACCTCTCTCCAAGTATACTCTTTCTCTCTCTCTCTCTCTCTGTGTATCCATGTATACACAGCCAGTCACATGCTATTATGCTTCTTTTTCCCCCCCTCCTTTTTGTCTGATTTTGTTCTTGTGGAAACACGAAGGAGCACCAACAAATTTTATTCTTCTTGTTCCCATTAACAATTATATTTTCTATTTCTTTCCTGTGTCGGTTTCTGTTATTCTATAGTTTGTGGTTAATGCTTGTCGTTCCTAAAACCGAGTAAATGAACTCATTGATGTTATGTAATATTTAATTATTTTTATCCTTACTAGCTATTGCTGCTAACACAGGATAGCTTCTACAATAGATGCAGTATTGCTTTCACATTCAGATACTCTTCATCTTGGGGCCCTGCCCTATGCCATGAAACAACTTGGCCTCTCAGCTCCAGTTTATTCCACTGAGCCCGTGTACAGATTAGGTCTCCTCACCATGTATGATCAGTATCTCTCCCGGAAGGTGAAATTACATCTTGTACATTTTTTAGCTTTACATATTGGCAAGCATGCATAAGTAGATACTTGGATGATTTTTAAACATCCAAAATGTTTTCTGCTTATGCATTTGATGTTTTAGGCTTGCCATCCTTGTTTAATATGTTTCTTGCTAGGAGATTTTGGACATAATTAAGAACGAACTTTCCTCTAATAAGATCTTCTGGGAGATTACTTGTTATCTAAATAGAAAACGTTTTTTGATGCTATGAAAGTTACCTCATGGAATATGGGCGGAAAGAATTGGAAACTGTAAGGTTACTGATAAAAGAATACCTTTTGGTATGCCTCACTAAGGATATATTTTATGATTGTTTCTACATTTCATTCCTGGTAGAAGACGAGATATCTGTTATTATGATGGGTCAATGGCCTAAGTTTGCAAATGTAAGGAGAAAAGAAGAAAAAACAAATGATGAGATAACTTATGTAATTAATGGTTTTGGGGAATTTAAATGTTACATGGCTCTGAAATTTGGAAGTCTAGAAATGAAATGTTTCTTAAAGTTACAGGACTTGACTGGTAGACAGTCAGTTACGGTAAAATTTTTAAGGATTTCAATCTTCTTTTCTCTTTGAAGGTGTTTGTCTATTTTGTCTGGGCTGTTACTATGGTTGTGGTTTGGTAGATTTTGCTATTGGCGGTTTGACTTGGGATGTTGTCAGAGGATTTTGGTATGGGCAATTCCTTTGTAAATCATTGGATTTAGTGAAGTCAACTCACTATATATAAGGTGTAAATCAAAAGTTCACCTTGAGGGTGATGCCTGTGCTGATCACTAAGTGTCAAGGGCCCATCACGCTCATGAGGATTACACTCTCCTACCTGTTCCTCCAGATTATGCCCATTATTGATTTATTTGGAGCATTGCGATACTGCATGGAGCCATTTAGTTAAGGATACCTAGTTATATTTTGTGTTTTTATTTCCATTCTCTTTGTAGCAAAAAAAAAAAAAAGCAAAAAAGCATAAAATCAAAAGTGGACTTAAATGCAAGAAGAAGAAAAAGGACTTGATTGTTACATCCTAACTCAATCTTAGTAGAAACTGAGTGATGCCTAAGTAAACATGCCAGATGGTTCTGATGCATGTATTCCTATTGTTTATCGGTGATGAGCTATGACTGCAAAATAAGCATTCATGAGCTATTAAGATAGGGTAGTTTGCCTGACTGCTTTGCCTCCTAGCTTCAAATTTCTGTTTATCCATGTTGTAATTAAAAAAAATCTTGTCTTTAGAATTAATAGATTTAGATGACAAAAGATCGTATCTATAATGTTTTTATATTTCTTGGTTCAGTGTTATCCTTGTCTCTCAGTTCAGCGTTCTAAATTTCTGTTTATCCATATTGTAATTAAAAAAAATCGTCTTTAGAATTAATAGATTTAGATGATAAAAGATCGTATCTATAATTTTTTTTTAAATTAAATTTTTGATTAAGCAATGAGTCCACTTCAAAAGAGTTTTGTCTTTCGTAATGAATTAATTTGTTTTTGCCATATGAGTCCCATTTGTTTAAATCTTTATTTTGAACTCTACAGTACTCTGACTCTATTTCGCCATTTTCTGATACTAATCTAAGTTATCTGATCTGAGGTAAATCATATTGATAATGACTTCTTAATCAGTTTTTTCATAGATTTTTTTTGTATTTGAGTGATTGGTTTTCTTCTCAATGTGCTTTATTGTCGTTGGCTTCTCTCAAAGAAACCTGTTCTAGCTTCGTTATCGTCCTAGCTTCCTTGTTTTGGTTCAAAACTTTGTCTAAGAAAATTAAAGGAATCTATCCTCAATATATCATTTATTTAACATTTTGAAGCCATTTTTGTCATTTCCTTTTCACATTGTTTTGTTTTCTTTACTTAGCTGTGTTTGTACAGTAAAAGGTTTGATTGACATGTTGCTGTGCTTCCTTTGCAGCAAGTTTCAGAATTTGATTTATTTACATTGGATGACATTGATTCTGCTTTCCAAAATGTGACAAGGCTGACGTACTCACAGAATTATCATCTGTCTGGTAAGTATTTACTGTAGGATGTGTTCTTGTTTAATCTATGTAAAATGCTGGGTATCATATTTTCCTTGTGGAAGTGAGTTGGCTCCGTATTTGCATATCTGCTTGCCACATGTCCAAATTCTCTTAAAATTTTACCAGGATGATCTCCTCCTGCGGGAATCATGACTGTCCAAAAGGGGAAGTGTTATAGAAGCTTTATTTTATTTTATTTTTCGTTTTCGAATATATGATGTTCTGGACACAATTTTTAATAGGAAGAGGAGAGGGAATTGTTATTGCCCCCCATGTGGCTGGACATCTCTTGGGAGGTACTGTGTGGAAAATAACAAAGGATGGAGAAGATGTCATCTACGCTGTTGATTACAATCATAGGAAAGAGAGGTATATTCTCTTACGTTCTCAAGCTACATATACTTCTGACTTTAAAATTAATGTTTATGAGCACTTATTGGTATTTTTATCTTCCCAGGCATTTGAATGGAACTGTTCTACAAACTTTTGCCCGGCCTGCTGTCCTAATAACTGATGCCTACAATGCTTTGAAGAATCAACCTCCAAGACAACAAAGGGACAAAGAATTCCTGGGTATTTTTTTCCCCATATCCAACTTTGGTTGTTACTAATACATGAATGAACAAATGGGCAGAATATTACATTTATCTATTCCTAATCATCCACAAACTGTAGCTACTATCTAGGAACAAAACAACTTGAAAATTCTATTCATCAACAAAACTGTGCTAATCAAACTAATTATTAACCATAGTTAACAGCTAATTAGTAACAGTGATAGCAGAATTAAGCTATCCTATTTCCTAACATACTGTGTTTATTTACCTTCTTCTACAATATAATCTTTTTATCAATTGCATGAACATGCGTGGCAGATACCATTTCAAAGGCTCTTGAAATGAGAGAGTTTAAAGAGGATTCGGAAATTCTGGGATTCTGTCCCTAGTACATGAATGAATAAAAATGCAGAATATTGCATTTATCTACTTCGAATCATCCACAAACTCCAGCTACTATCTAGGAACAAAACAACTCAATAGCTTTATACATCAACAAAACCATATTAAGCACAGTTAACAGCTAATTGGCAACAGCAATAGCAGAATTCAATTAGCCTCTCTCCTAACATGCTGTGGTTATTTACTTTCTTCTACCATATAATCTTTTTATCTATTGCATGAACATGCATGGCAGATACCATTTCAAAGACCCTTGAAACTGGTGGCAATGTATTACTACCAGTTGATACTGCTGGGAGAGTGTTTGAACTTCTGTTGATACTGGAACAGGTAATAAGATGGGATATAGATGACATAATATTGGTCAACTTAAATTACAATTGTTGAGTCTGAAATTTTGATTAAACTTGCAGCATTGGGCACAGAAGTCTTTTGGCTATCCCATTTTCTTTCTTACTTTTGTTGCATCTAGCACAATTGACTATGTGAAGAGTTTCCTTGAGTGGATGAGTGATTCTGTAGCAAAGTCTTTTGAAACTTCTCGAGATAATGCCTTTCTTTTGAAGTAAGTGTTCCCCTTCCTAATGCAATTTGTCTTTTTTTTTTTTTGAAAATAAATAATGAATTTTCTCTTGTTATTTTGCCTGTTGCTAACTTTGCTTGCTAAGGTTTTTAAATTCTAATAGTCTTTTCATATAGTTCTGCACTTCATAAAATGTTGAAAAGTTATTCATATGTTTATTATCTTGGCATTTGTTATAGATAATATTATGGTTTATTAGGGAGAATAAATGATGTGTTAAGTGGGCAGACAAGTGTATTGAGGAGAATAAGTCAATATATGTTGCGTGTAAACTAAGGTGTTAAATGTGGACATGTGTATTAGGGAGAACAAGTTTAGATAAAGACAAAAGGGGTAGTTAATTCTGAAAATAACTTTCAGATAACTACTTTTTCTGTTGTATAAGTACAACTGTCTTCTTTGGTAGATTTTTATGCAAGAAGAAATTTTTGAAAACGTATTGAGTACTTCTTACTTAAGAGATCATTGGGTTCCCTCTTAATGAGCCCATACTATTAATAAAAGATTAGGGATCTGTAGGTTCTCCCTTAAAGAACCTATATTAATAAATTCCCATAACGAGATCCTATATCAAGACTGTAACAATTTGGTATCAGAGTCAATTGTTCTGGATAAATCGCAGTCCATGTTTGAGAATTTTTTAAAGAAATATCATTAAGATCGTGGATAGGATCATCTCAAATTTGAGATTTAGAATTGACGACTAGGAGGAACTTTCTACCGGCCGAACAAATCAGAGGGAAAATAGAGAAGGCAAAGTGCAGCCTGGCCGCCAGCACAACCGTGGCAATGATTATGTGACTGACAGGACTGCTCCTTTTATTCTGAAGTGTACTAATTTAGATTTTTTCCATTTTGATGGTTCTACGGACCCCTTTCCTTTGATTGGTCGCTGGGAACATTTTTTCTGACATCAAATCACCGCTGCAGAAGAGCAACTTTACTGATTTTCCGTGGACTTGAATTGTAGACTCCCTGCAGATGGACGTTATACATCTAGAAACCCTAAACATTCCTGAATAAGATGCATGATAGGCAAAAAATTTTTCCTGAAAATATTTCTATCACCATGGACTTGAGGATAAGTGCAATTTTTCAGGAGGGAAGAAATATCATGGATGATATTATGGTGTTAAGGAAAGTAAGTGATGTATTAAGTGGGTGGACGGGTGCATTGGAGAGGATAAATTAGTATGTGTTATGCGTAAAATGATGTGTTAAACGTGAATATGTGTATTAGGGAGAATAAGTCTAGATAAATTCAAGAGGGTAGTTAATTTTTTTAAAAAGATGGTAGTTAATTTTGGAAATAACTTTCAGATAACTACTCTTGTATAAAATACAAATTGTCTTCTTTGGCATATTTTTAGGTAAGAAGAAATTTATAAAAGTGTCGAGCACTTCCTTACTCAAGAGAGGGTTAGGTTCTCTCTTAATGAATCAATGCTATTAACCAGAAATTAAGGATTGCCAGGTTCTTTCTTAGCAAGCCCATACTATTAACTAAAATCCCATAACGAGATCCATAAATCGGGACCATAACAGCATTTTATGCATATTTTCAGGCATGTACATCTTTTGATTAACAAGAGCGAACTAGATAATGTTCCAGATGGGCCAAAGGTCAGTTGACTTGTATTCTCTTAACTGGTAGGTTATCTTTAATTTTTCTCAACCTAATATATGCTGTTGTCTGACATACCTTTTTTTAGGTTGTTCTAGCGTCCATGGCTAGTCTGGAAACAGGGTTTTCCCATGATATATTTGTGGAATGGGCTATGGATGTTAAGAATCTTGTTCTTTTTACTGAAAGAGGCCAGGTATCTTATCTTCTCTTGGGCCTACGTACTAATATTTTGTTTTTCTTATACGAAAAAAGATAATGATTTATTTTAAAAAAAGGATAATTATAACTCCTACTCAAGCTATTATTATGCTTTTCTTGCTGTTATTGGTTGTGTTGGGGTTGAAAATATCTATTACTGAGAATTGTATCATTCTTCTGGTTGTCAGATGCAAATGCAATAACAATAATGTCATTTTTGCTGTTTTGTCCCGTAAAAATTGTACTGTAATAACCAGTATCTGCATTGCATATAGTTCAGATATGGTTTGTTGTAAAATTGATTTCAGTTCACTTTATTATTTTTCTGCAGTACAATACATATGTACTGATGTTTGTCATTGCATATGTAGTTTGGCACTTTAGCTCGCATGCTTCAGGCTGATCCACCTCCAAAAGCTGTTAAAGTCACCATGTCCAGGAGGGTTCCTTTGGTTGGGGAGGAGTTAATTGCTTATGAAGAAGAACAAAACCGACTGAAAAAGGAAGAAGCTTTAAAAGCTACTCTCATCAAAGAGGAGGAAGTGAAAGTATCTCATGGGCCTGATAAGAATTTGGTAGACCCAATGATTATAGATACTAATAGTACACATACTTCACTAGATGGTATTCTTCTTCATCTCTGATAGGTTTTACTTGCAATTTCCATTCTGTAAATGAATTCCAGATTTTCATGAATGTTCTTTTTAAAGATTTGAGAATATAATTTCAAGAGTTTTGTACCGTGAAGAGGAATCTTCTATTTGGAACAGTTTGTTGGCATTTATAACTAACGTCACTTATGTTCTAGTGATTATCTTTTTCAGTTTAGATTCCCTGGATTATCAATTTCGCTACTTTGTAGGATTACCTTCTGCTTTAAGTATTTGATGTTTTTAATGATTCGATCAGCAAGACCTTCAATGCAGAATTTTGGTATGCGACTGAGAAAAATCTAAAAACTAAAGATTTAACTGGATTGATGTTTTCATTTCATGTCTCTGTCCCTGGATTCTTTGGAGCTTTGTAATATATCATCAATTGTGAATTTACAAAAGTCATTAACCCAGCTGCTGCTATAACACTTCGATATTTGAATTCTTTGTCAAGTTTGATGCCTTTATATAGTCTTTGCATAAAAGATTCTTGGATCCCGTATTTAAAAAAAAAAGAGATTGTTGGATCCCATTACTGTAAATGCTTGCTGCAAAATAAAGATCACAAGAATTATTTTGTAATACTAAGTAGAGGAGCAGTCTTTAGTCACTGGCAATATAGTAGTCTCAGTCTCCTCCCAAATACTGTGTCCAATTCAGTACCGAAAAGCTTGAAGTCTGATGGCGTTTACGTCGCAAGAAGAAACTTTATATTGATTATCTTAAATGTAGTCTTGTTTTTGTTATTCAGTTTCTCCGATCAAACCATTTTATGCTGAATAATCATTCTGAAGTTTGGTCTCTGATTTTTGTAGGAGACACACATTCTTTTCTTAATATTTTAAACATAAATTGTGCTTTAATGTGGCATCTGTGCTAAACGATCCTGGTTGTATCTTGCAGTTGTCAGTTCTCACGGGGGTAGATATCGAGACATACTAATTGATGGTTTTGTCCCTCCTTCCTCCAGTATTGCTCCAATGTTTCCCTTCTATGAAAATACATCTGAGTGGGACGACTTTGGTGAGGTAATCAATCCCGATGATTATGTAAGTAAGGATGAGGAGATGGACCAGGCAGCTATGCAAGTGAGTTTTCTTTTCCAAGAATCTGCTCTTATTAGGTTCCCATCAACTGTTATGCTGTCTATTTTACTCTTTATTTGGATCAAAGAATGAACTCATATGAATGACTGCATTATTAGGACTTTGTTTTTGCGAGATATTCCATTGGGGTGCATATCTCAGTTATCTTTAACTTTGTTGCAGTTTTGGTTATCAGTGATCCCAGTATGATAGTTTATATTCTCAGTTCCAAACTTTCGAATTAGTTCTTGGGTTTGGATTGTTTGGAGGATGAGTATTTGTAATTTGAATTTGATTGGCATATTTAGAAATAATTCATTGGTTTATTAGAATACTGGACTTGGTTGGCATAAAAATTAAGTTAGTCATTTATGTTTCTTCATTTTGTTTTTTTTATTATCCATAAGTGTTAAGGAGGTATTTATCTGAAGTGTTGGATCCTTATTAAGTCAGTTCTAATGGAGCAAGCATCTTCTGCTAGTGAAATATTATCCTGGCTAGAATCTGAAACTCCTTTCCTTTTCCTTTTCTTTTGGCTCTCACTAGGAGCAGTAATAACAGTGCACTTAAGAGGCTGATTGTCCTAGGATTTATGGGTAGTCACAGGGCTAAAAATTGTTGATGCAGCTGTCCAAACTGAGACTTTAGATGATTTGAAGAGATTGAAGAGCCAATAATTTGTTGAAAATAAAGATAGACCTCTTGGAGATAAAGCAGCTTAGTTAAATGTTCATTGCTCAATGGAAGATAGTAGATTTACCTCTTCCTAAAAACTTATGAGATATCTTGGCAAATCCTACAGTAATTTCAGCTAACAATCTTTTCTTGCTTTATGTACTTTTTCATCATTCTCAGGATTAAAATGAAGAGTTGCACAGTGAAAAGAGTTCATACATTCTGATTCTTGTGTTTATGCCAGGGTGGTCAAATGGCTTCTGCTTTTTGAAAATTTGATTCATTTTATTTTTACATGTCATCAGGTTTTTCCTTCTCTGAATTTACTACTTGCTAGTTGGAGTTACTATTGTCTCTCTTTATATTGAGAAGTCATCTTATAGTAAACCGAGTCTTTACCTAGTTGATCGTAAATGATGACATTTCATTTCAGGCTGGTGGCACTATGGATGGTAAACTTGATGAAGGCTCTGCTGGCTTGATACTTGATACTAGGCCTTCAAAAGTTATATCTAATGAGTTAACTGTAAGTGGAATTCAAACTTAATCAACATAATGTCTCTAACTCTTTGCTGTGGTTCTTTTGCCACTTAATATGGAATGGTTCTCTCCTGAACTAGGAACCTATTCACAATTCTTGATATTGAATGGTGTCGCCTGATGTGGAATGATTTTTAGCATTGACCAAGTCAAGTTGCTATTCCGTCAATTTTGCTATTTTTTGATGCTTTAGTTTACAATGGTGACCAGGTGCAAGTGAAATGTTCACTAATTTACATGGATTATGAGGGACGTTCTGATGCTCGCTCTATCAAGTCAATGCTTGCTCATGTTTCTCCCCTAAAGCTTGTATGGATATTTCTTTTTCCACGAACTTGTACAAGATTGCTATTCATTTATTCACTAAGGACCTGGTGTTTTCCTTGATTCATATAGCTCTGATGTGTAAGATGACATTTCTTTTAGCGTCATGCTTTGCATGTCTATATAAGCATGTGAATATGCATATTTTTGAACGATGCAACTCATGCAAGTTGCAATTTGCTACACATTGTTAACAAATCTAATACATCGAGACATTGAAGTGGTAGTAGGTAGGATTCGGGTTTTTGTAAAATATGATGTATTTTATTGGGTTTTGACACCATCACAGTTTCTAGGCTTGAGCCGTTTAAATTTCCGATGTCCAGGATCAAGTAGTAACTCCATTTGTTGCTGTTGTCTATATTATTCCTTGGAAGCTTAATTGTTTGTAGAGGCTGATTTGATATAACTAATAGTTAACATGGATTTTTTTTTTTCCTTGGAGGTTTTGGTACATGGATCAGCTGAGGCAACAGAGCACTTGAAACAACATTGCTTGAAACATGTTTGTCCTCATGTTTATGCTCCCCAGATTGAAGAAACTATTGACGTTACCTCTGATCTATGTGCCTACAAGGTTTAAATTGAGACTAATCTTGTATCTTCATGGTTCATTGTTTTCAACATGAAAATTCATTTTATTCTCTTGTGTGTGATATACAGGTACAACTTTCTGAAAAGCTGATGAGTGATGTGCTCTTTAAGAAGGTAAAGATTATGCTTTATACGGATGCATGGTGCTCAGAATTTGATGTTACTTTTTCTTATCTCTCTTTCTTTCTTGATATGCTAAAATTCAGTTTGGAGACTATGAAATAGCATGGGTTGATGCTGAAATAGGGAAGACAGAGAATGATACACTGTCTTTACTTCCCATCTCAACCACTGCTCCGCCACATAAGTCTGTCCTTGTTGGTGATTTAAAAATGGCTGATTTCAAACAGTTTCTTTCTAGCAAGGGTGTCCAGGTACTTTATAGATTCCATATATAATTCTTTCTAGCTGACTCAAGTCAGTCAGCTGTAGCTTAAGATTAACTTTGCTTTGTGTATTTAGGTTCCATGTGAATAGGTACTTGTTCATTTTGGCTTGTGTATGCATAGATGCTTGTTCACTGATGCTTGTGCATCATAGCTCAATTTGAACATATGAACAAATCCTGGTAATGAACACTTAATAGTCATCAATCCATGGGGATTCTACAAACAGTTTGCAAAAAGGTCAAAAAAAGAAGTGCTTCGTCCTCAATAATGTCACGAGATTGTATCCATTTCAGGTAGAATTTGCGGGCGGGGCATTGAGATGTGGTGAATATGTCACATTACGTAAAGTTGGGCATGCTGGACAGAAGGTGAGAAACATTTAATTTTAGCTTGCAAGCTCTGAGGGAAGACTGGTCATGTTTAACCAAATATGCAACACGTATTATATTTGGAAGTTTATATAGTTGTCTTTTCTTTGCACAGGGTGGAGGCTCTGGGACACAGCAAATTGTCATAGAAGGTCCTTTGTGCGAGGATTACTATAAGATTAGGGAGTACCTATACTCACAATTTTATTTGCTTTGAGGATCTGAGGTACAAATTAGTTGTAAATGAATGTTATGGTATTTCTAGTTTTTGTTGTAAATCCTTTATGGTTCAATGTAGAGTACGGAGTTTACAATCAAAAACTAAGCAGGAAATGTTCTCAATTCTCATGGCCAAATGAAGATCAATGGACTTTGCTCAACTGGGGCCTGAAACCTCCTCTGATTTTTGTTTTTTAGTGGGTATTTGGTTAAAAAATGTAGAGTAAATTAGTCAGCAAGAAAAACCTCAATCACGTATTATATATATTCCTACCCTAATCCCTGTCCCAATTACAGCCAAAAGATATTTCTTACAACTTTCAAGGATTCCAAAATTTATGGTCTATATCTCATATCCTAACATGTAATATCTTAATTAAGAGAATTTATGGCACGTTGTAAGCTTGAGAATTGGTCATTAATTTACACATGGCATCTTAACCAAGATCCACATGTAGACAAATCGAAGCAAACCCACGTGAAAAATCTGTAATTTCATCTTCCACCATGTCCGTCACTCATCCTCCCCGCCCCATTAATTGACAAATCAACAAATCCTCTGTCCTTCATTCTTCCTACAAGACAAGAGAGAAGGAGAAAAAATCCAAGAGATCAGAAAGAAAGCGAGTTTTTGGAGAGATGGGTGTGGTGGTAATAGACGGATCAACGGTCAGAGACTTCGTGAGCGACGAGGAACAGTTCAAGAAAAGCATGGACGAGAAGTTTGCGGCGCTCGACCTCAACAACGACGGGGTGCTATCGAGGTCAGAGCTTCGCAAAGCCTTCGAATCCATGCGTCTCCTCGAGACCCACTTCGGTGTCGATGTTGCTGCCACCCCGGATCAGCTCACACAGCTTTATGATTCCATTTTTGAAAAGTTTGATTGTGACCAGAGCGGCACCGTTGATCTTGACGAGTTCAGGTCTGAGATGAAGAAAATTTTGCTGGCAATTGCTGATGGGTTGGGGTCTTCTCCTATTCAGATGGCTCTTGAGGATGATGATGATAATAATAATTTCCTCAAGAGGGCTGCTGATCTTGAAGCCTCTAAGCTCAATCAATCTGCATCTGCATCTGAAACATGAGCCCTGCCTATGCATTTTTAGCTCATCTTATATGGCTGGGACGTGTTAATATGAGTTGTATGCTTGTACTCTACTTTGATTTTCTTCTAGTTCTGTTTATCATCAATAAAGCTCTTTTCTTAAATTCAGTTCGTTTACCTTTCCATGCTGTTGCTCTTGTGAAAATGTGTCCCTGAATCTTGTCTTCAGTCTCGTGTGGGGATGAAACTGGGGAATCCAAACTGGACTTTAATAGAGAAATGGATTAGTGTCATCTGCAATGGCTTATTTTGTGCAAATATAACCAGATACATACTCATCCATTCAAAAAAGAATAAGGCCATCTAGTCCCTAAAAGAGAAAAATAGAAGAAAAAGGGGTTTGTTTCTGCAATGATCAAAAGGGTATGTTTTATCTGTAATGTACAAAAGGGATTAGAAAAATTTATACCGAATCACAAGCTCTGGATTCAGATGATGGATCACCATCACCAATTCAAATCTGACCTTTCTTAAACACAAATGGATATTATGTCTGCAAACCAATTGTAATGACATGATGCTGTTCTCACCAAGGGAAAATTTTTAAGGCAGCTATGTCCATGAAAGTTTTAGTTATGGTGGCAACTGGAGATGGACTAAACCGCTGTAAGGAGACCAATGATGGGAACCGAATCAACCACTTGTTTGTTTGAAGAGAAAACGAAGAAAAAAGAGAAGATGAAATCAGACAAAAGAAAATGGGAACCTTCAAGAGGAAACCTCAGAAACGCTGGGAACCTGCGAAAGAAAATTCCAGAAAAAATAAAAAAAAAAAAAAAAGGAAAAAGAAAAAGAAAACGATGAGAACTCCGTAAAAAATATTCGGAGGAACAGAAAAGTGAAGACGAAGGCAGAAGAGAAGTAACAAAAAGGAAGCGTCGCCTGAGAGATTCGAACTCCCGCGGGGAAACCCCATGTACTTAGCAGGCACACGCCTTAACCACTCGGCCAAAGCGACGCGTTGATGTCTCTGGTATCGTAATAAATTATTTCGAGACGTTTTTCCTGCCGTTTTATCCTCCACTCCACGGTACTCTGAATCTTCTCCTCTGCTGATTTGAGGTGTGTTCTCATCACCTGCTTATACGACATTTGTTTGTTTTCATTTTTTGTGGTTATTCGTGGTAAAACAACTTCATCTGTTTGTGCATTGCTGAATCTGGATAGTCATCTAGATGTAGTTATCTTCTCCATAGTATTTTTGTTTTTTGAACAAGGAAGATGGAGTAGAATTGAAAAGTAAGGAGGTGAAACTTACCTGGGGACTATTCACAAACTCTAGTGTAAAGTTACTTCTTTTCCATATAGAGTTCTTCTAATCTGCTAGCAAGTTTGTTCTTTTCTTTGCCACTATTCTCCAGATTCTTATAAATTTGCAGTTATTAATTAACTATTTTATAATTGAATAACTATTACAACTAAATTTGCAGCTCTTAACAAAAATTTCAAAAAGTATACTATAAATAACATAATCGGATTGAAATAATAGGCGGCTAATCAGGAGCAGGTGTTAAACCCAAATCTTTACAGCAGACCCAATGGCTAACAGCTCTTCCTTCCCAACTTTCTTCCAACCCCCGCCCATCATAAGAAATCCTTCCATTGATGGACCATTTTCACTATCTGGTTCACATTTCTCTACCAAGTTCCTCGTCTTCCTTATCGTCTTTGGACATAAACCGTCCAACAATTGTGTATCTCTTCCGATGTCTTCCACTGGTAAACAATCTTCACCATCTAAGTCACAGTGCTCAACTGACTCCCTCATCTTCTTAAGGCTTGAATTGTCTAACTCTTGAGTGTCGCAACTAGCTTCTCGCTTTTCACCACACTGCCTCAGCTCCCAGTCCTCAATTGTAACCTCAAAACCCTTCTCAGGGATGTCATCACTATCAAGAGCGGGAAACTGACCGGAAGACCCCATAAGAGCTGGTAGCATACCAATTGGACATGGGTTCCATGTTTCTAACTTCACCCATCTCTTTGAATTTCCCATATCAATGTGTTTTCTTTTGATACCTTTGGTCTTCATTCTTTCGAGCTTGACCCACTCTAGCTTCTGTGCTGCTTCTTGAATAGATTCCTCTTGCTGGACAAGGGTCTTAGCCATTGTAATAGAAGAATCTTCTTCGGCAACATAATCACTGGGCAAACGTAATAAAGCTAGCTTTCTAAGTTCCTCCTTGAAATGATGGACTCCCATAAGCTCTGATAGTTGAATGGCAGAATCCATGAGCTGGTTATTGCCACATGCTGACAATAGAAGACATTTACGTAAAAACTCGATGGGTATTGCATTCATGACATTTATTTTCAAAGAACCATTCTGGTAAGAATGCTTTAGTCCCTTGATGTGTCCAACAAGCCACAGAAATAAATAAGAAAGATGTTGCACTTGAGATGCGCCTGTCTTGTACTCTGATAGAAGATGCCCTTCTAGATGAGATTAGACAAAATTAGTAATGAGGTACAGAAGGCAATATGATATGAAAAAGATATTTACAAAATGCTGCTATTAAAGGTTCCATACACCATTTATCTTAGCTATGTTTGGAACAAATATAAAATTTGTGTCGAATTCATTTGCGTATCAATGCTTATTTCAATTCGAAAACGATGGAAATCTTATTTAAGATGATAAAAATTAGTTATTATGAAATTCCATGTAGAATTTCATGAGCTTAATTTTTATAATTCCTTATTAGAATTAGTATTGCTCCTAGTTAAAAAAAGATTGAATTTACAAATCAATTCTGCAGAAGTTTTAAACTTGTTCCAAATATTACCTTAGTTGACAAGCAGACTTTAATAATAATAAAATGTGTGATTTTTTTACATGAATTGCGAATCAAGTTGATTTGAGAATCATAACATAAGTAGCAATTCTCAATAGCAACTATAAATGAAAAACAAACATGGAATACTCTCCAAACTGGGTAGAAAAGGCAATTAATATTGTCTACATGGCCTTTTAGATGGATGATTCATAGCCAGTCCTTTCATCTATTATAACTGTGTATGCACACTGATGTGTATTCCTCCTAAACACTCATTGACATATACGCCAGTGCACACATTGTTTCAAATTCATGCTATGGAAGCCAGTTGGCATATATGCCAGTACACATATCTTCGGATTTAAATGGCATCTTACTAAATACTGATCCATATAGGAATAAACGCCACCAGCCAATATAGTAAAAAGTAGCTTAAGTTCAGTTAAACAAATCAGCATCTCAAAAAGGGAAAAAATAACAGATCCCTAGGAGTACTAAAAGATGATTAAAGATCAGACTCCTAAATGAAAACAATTATTTTCTAGTAAAATATTAAAGCAAATGGAATCAGAAGTTCATTTTGAAGTGTCTGGAACAAAATGTAAAGAGCACAAGATGGATATAATGTCAAAGAAGATTTGGCAAGTACCTGTTTCATTTTCCATGTGTTTATGAGATCCAACCATATCAAGAATGGCCTGGAGAAGATTAAGAAGCACTTCTGGTTCTTCATTGGAGAGTTTTGTTATCACAAGCCTCCATTCATCCAACAAATTTTCTGGATTTTGACCAGCTTCGTACTCTTTTGGAAGTTCCACATAATTTGAGGAATCTAAAGCCTTCAGCAAAAACTCCAATAGTATAGACACTACTTCTGATGGGAAGGAAGAATACAATTGCTTAAGGGTTTTCAAGGTCTTTTTGGTATATTTCTTAGAACCTGCAAACACAAACCACAACAAAAGAGCACACAGGTTACCCATGAAAAGAGCAGAAAACAAATGAATAAGATGGGAAAAATGAACTTCTAGAAAACTTTACAACAGCAAATCAAATGGCCCTTTCCTTTTTTTTGAAAGGAAAAAGTGGAATATCATTGAAGAGCATCAAGGATGAGCCACCAAATACAAAAATGAACAGAAGTGCATAAACTACAAATAGGTCAATAAGCAAATTAAATGTAGCCTTAACTATCATGTAAACATTGACAATTGTTTCGTTGGGTTGAAGAACGGTACCTTTTGGAGGAAGGAAAGGACGATCTAACACTAGACACCTATCCATTTTATGCCTAAAATGTTCTTCCTTAACCCAAGATTTCATTAAATTGACAACCCAAAATACACTTTCAGATTTATCAATGATTTTACTTTGCATGAATAAAGATTCAAACATTGTTGCTGTCTTCTCGCCATAGTTTATGTTGAGTAATATGCTTTGATCATCATCCAAATTTTCTATACACAGGGGAAGTGAGTGGAAAGGTTTTAACTCATACTTAAGCATGTCAGATTCTGCCTTTTTATGAAAAGAAATGTAACAAAATAGGCATACTATTTCTTTAATATGCACCTATCATCATTATTACCTGCTTTAAAGTTGTTTTTTTAGTGTGTTCTGCTAACCTCATATTGTTTGCAAGGATTCCTTATATTTCAAACAATGGTAGGAAAAAGAAAACGGTATCTAATATTAGAATGAAGAGATTATAAACTTGTATAGAAATATGATTAGGACCTAAAATATAATAGTGCATGTCTTAGTCCCTGCCTACCTTGTCTCCTGGTGGGAAAAAAGAAGAAACTGATCATTAAGAACATGAAGTCAATAAAGTTATATTTAGGACGATTGACTGCCTAATGCAAACGGTAAAACATGCATGTTTCTACTTTTAGTCACACCTAATGAATGATGGTGGATCTTTGGCATGCATACCACAAGAGTGCATGAGTGTCTGCATGCCATCAATTCAGTACTTTAAAGCCATCATTTATGAACTAAAAAAGAAAAAGAGCAACAAATATTCAGATAAGCTGAAAAAGAAAAACAGTGCAAGGCATTATAATAAAAATAAAAAAGAAAATGGGGAAGTTTGAACTGCCCCCTTTCTCAATCCTTAAATAAAAAGGCAATCCTGTTAAAAGGACAAATTAAAAAGAATGGTTTTACGCACGTTTTCCTTTGCTTGGTGAATATCCAAGCTGGGGACTCTTCTCAACATTCAAGCAGGATGCCAATTCACGAAGTCTAGATTCAATTTCTCTGCTGACGTTTGTGGTTCCGTCTTTCCTAAATGGAATCTTCAACTTCTGAGGTTCCCAGTAATAGGATTTCAACCAATCAAGTGCCTGATATTTGTAAAAATCATAAAATTCAAAAAGTGAATATTGACTAGAAGATGCAGAATCACAGGATTTATGAACTATAATACATGCAATTTTTAACCAATCCTCTATAATCTTCTACTTCTTAGGTTTTCAAAGATCCTTGTTTAAGGTGTCGTACTATCCATGTAGAAAAGCGGAAACAGCACTGACAACAGCTAATTACAAAAATCTCCTCATTGTTTGTAAATGGATTTGTTAGTAAAAAGAACTCAGGGCCAAAAGCCTTGAGAGGCTCCCTAGTAAAAAGAACTGACTTTGTTTTTCTCCAAGTATTCTTTTCTACTTTTCATTATTTTAATTGGAAGGCTCTTAAATTAGGTTCACTATGTTTTTGTGATAGTTCGGGAACCAATACGACTCGGGTAGAAAATGTACCAGAGTCCAGACTGTGCTTCACAAGGGGCTTAAGCGATCCCCTTGAATATTAGTCTTTCTAACCTTGAAACCAACTTGTTGTTTGGAAAATATACCTCTTAAATTTTAAGTATCAAGGTTGAAAGGTCGATGCTCAAGCAAAATTATTTGAACTTGATGAATAAGACTACAAGTAAACTTTGGTTTTCTGATACTTCTGACCTCACCAAGTATGAGGTTGAGGGTTCAATCCCCAGGCTATGTGCCCATAAAACAATAATGGGGTCTGCAGCAAAAAAA